AGACTGTAAACCCAAATAAACCTTCCTTCCCGTAAGTTGCTCCTTGCTAGACATTCTGTCATAACAGGTGATAGTATGGAAACTATGTTTTGTTTCTGCCTCAGTTTCCCTCTTTTCTACCATATACTTACTCATTCTTCTCTTCTTCTTGTCTTAGGGACATTTTTTTTCCCATTCACTTTCTGATTTTTTTATTTTTATCTTTCTGTTTCTTCACCTTGTCTGGCATTTGTTTCATTAACTTTATACTCTCCTCCACTCCTTCCAGCCTCCCTGTAATCACACACACATTATCTTAGTAAAAGAAGAAAGTGGCTTTTTGCAAGGAAGTTCTTAATCATTCTTTTTAAATGGGTCAGGACACAATGAGGCTTCTTAGGAAGGCCTACGAAATCTTAAGCAGTTCCCATCTCTTGATCCTTTAAATGAACTCATATTGAACATTACACCACACTGAGCTATACAATGCTTGTGAGCCTCTGTGGCCCAGATTCTCCCTAGAGGAGGGGTGGCACATCTGCTCCAATGAAGTCACTGAGGAAAACATTTTGAGGTATAGATTTTATGTCACTACTAGATATTCTATCCTTGCTACATCTTTGAGAAAAAGCCCAGGGTGTCACCCTCAGAAAGCTTCTGCATTCTCTGAGTGTTCCCTCACAAATGTCCCCAAAGCTAGATGACTCGTTCTCCTGTTTCTGTGTGCAGACTGTTCTCCTAGCCACTTCTCACATCAGCGGTCTTTCTTCCTCTTCCCTTCCCTTTCCTTCCTGCTCACAGGACTGGTTACCTAGAAACTGTTCATAACCCCTTAAAAATGCACTTTCTGCTTTCTTCCAAATTAAAAAAGACACTCATGCAAATACTGAAAAAGGGAAACTTATGAACTAAGAGACATGGCAAGAGCCTGTGGGGGAGTCATGAAAGTTCCAGAAACACCAGAAGTCACCACAGCCTCTGAGGTCTAGAAAAAAAAGAAACCACAAACCCTGGCTAAGTGGTTTAGGTTTTTAAATTTTCTTTCATTTTTTTTACTGATTACATTCACTGATAAACAGAGTTTACTCCCAGTTCTCATTAAAAGCTCAGAAAACTGCAAAACTGCATTTTTTTTTAAATGAAGTAAACAAATGGCCCTTGCTTTTCCATTTAGTAGATTTAACTTGTAGAGATATGGAGACATACCTAGTAACCTTCGAAGTAGCTGTTTCATTACACATCTGGATTGGCAGGAGGGTGTTCCTGGACTCTGATTTCTTTTGTTTCTAGATTGTTGTTAGCACTAGCCTGAACGGATTTAAAATGGAAGTGCCTTGATTGGGAAGGGTAGATTGTGTTCAGGATACTGTGTGTTGTTTATTCTTTCCTTCAGTCTCCCAAATATTTCTATCACTTATATGCAATCAAAAATTCGTTGTTTGTTCCTCTGTGTTTGGTTTTGTTTCTCATTTATTTTTCAAGTTAAAGCACTCACTGGTTATTGTGAAAGCCACATTGCCCCCCAATGAATAGCTGACTCTAGCATCTGAAACTATGCACATGCTGCCCTAGGAATAGTCTACAGTGTCAACAGTGTAGATGTGTCTTCTCAGGGTCTACTGCTTTTTCAGGAGTTGAAAAGCGAACAGTGATGGACTGAACTAAAGACATATTGTTTTTAGTGCTGACAGCTATAGTAGTCTCAACATCTTTTGTGTAGCTGGATATCAGGCAGACCTGAGAGCACACACCCAAAAATATGACCCACAGTGGTTTCCTCTTACCTAATTTATCCTGCTCTTACTGTAATCAGGCATCAATAACAAGTATGGTCCTGGAAGTTTGCCTTTGTCAGAATTGCCTGGAAGTTAAAATGCAAATTACAGGGCCTCTCAGTTTCTCATACAGCCTGATCTAGGAAAGCCAGGGATTTGCATTTATCAAGCTCCCAGGTGCTGGTGCTGAGAGGGCAGACAGTGCTTTGAGGAGCTACTGTTCTAATTACAGCCCTGCACTGCAAAGTAAAATCAGCTTCTAATTTTGCTCCACATTGTGCAAGAGAAACGGAAAGATTACTTTGGGATTTTACAATTTTGATGAAGAACACATATTAAGGAAGATGTTAATTTAAAAAAAAAAAAAACCTAATATCTACTGTCTTAAGCTTCAAAGGGCAGCATGGTACAAAACAGCCAAATTTGGGTAATCTCCAACCAGCTTTGCTTTTGCTGATGAACCAAGATTCAGCAGTGAATCAGGCTACTCTTCAGGCTGAATATGTTATATACAAAACCTGTTGAGTCAGCAGACCTGCTGTAAGGTCCCTTGAAATGGTCTGCTTAACAATACGCATTTAATTAGCTGTCATCCACACAACTCAAAGTGTTGATGCTCTATGTCCTTCTGCACCTAAAGCACAAGACAGGCGGCGGCATCTTTCTTTGAAAATTTTACCTCTAGAACTGAAAATCAACCAGGATTCCCCGCATTTTTTCTTTGAATAGCAATTCAAAGCCATTGCTAGTCAAAGAAAAAATGTAAATAGTTTAGAACATGTTTTGTGTGGTTTTTTTCAACTTAGCTTTACTTTTCTCCCCTTTAACTAATAGGTATTTTTGGGTTTGAAGCATCCTTAAGGTGTTTGCCTTGTCTTTTAATTTTTTCCATATGATGTCACATCTATCTGTAAAAGAACACAAAGAGACACATGATCGACAAGCTGTCACAAGCCCAAGTTCAAACCCCGTGGGTAAAGCATTAGTATACAAGTGTGAGTATACAAGTGTGGGTCCCTAGAGCCATTATAAGCCTGGACGCAGCACTGTATCTATAATCACAGTGTTTCCACTACAAGGAGGGAGAAGGAATGAGAACCACAGGAACTCAAAGGCCAGCTAGCCTGAGGTATCTAGTGGCAACAAGAGACCCTGTCTCAAACAAGGAATAAGGCTAGGACAATGCTCAAGGCTGTCCTTAGTCAACCACATCCACATGCAAGTATTTACATATATAAAGGTACACATACCATGTGCACATCGAGGATAGAGAAAGAGAGACTGCTGCAGGATCACTGTGCTTGAACAAGTGGGCGTGGCTATGGGAGACAGTCCAGTAGAGACTTGGAGTGTAAAGCAGAAGGATAAGGAGCCACATATCACATAGGGAAGAGGAACTTGAGATGCTGTTTCTGTGGCACTTGAAGAACAATGGGGCTAGTTTGAATATTAAGCACATGTCAGCAGAAGAGCCCTCAGAGTATTTGTTTTTCCTTCCAAACCTCTGGTGTCATGCAGTATGACATACACGTCCAAAGATTGCAGAATCACTGTTGCTTATTAGCCCAGGTTTTACACGAAGAAACTGACCCAGTGAACAAGCTGGGAAATGAAAACTTGGTGAAAGAAATGAACCATGCTCTGTATGGTTCTGTTGTCTATCACTTTCTTTCTTGGCTACATTGTCTAGGTTCTTTCTCTTGGATTTTCAAGTGGAAATAGGGCACCAGGTAGATATTGCCATTGGGAAGGAAGTAGGGAGTACTGAGGAGTCTTTTCTACACTGGCTTCTTCATTTTCATCTGATTTTTTAACCATCCTTTTCTTCTTTTTCTATATAAAATTACTGTAAAACTTCATCTGAGGAATCGTGCTGTCTTCATAACTTGACTAGAATAGATCAGTTAGGTTTTTCAGGTTATTCGGTCTCTGTGATTTCTTTCCCTCCCTCCCTCTCTCCCTCCCTTTTCCTCCCTCCTTTCTGCCCTTCTTCCCTCTCATCCTTCTTTCCCTCCCTCCTTATATCTCCTTCTCTCCCTTTCTTCCTGGCTCCCTTCCTCTTCTCCTTTTCTTTCTCTCTCTCCTTCTTCCTCCCCCTCTCTCTTCCCTCCCTCCCTTCCTCCCTCCTTCTCTTCCTTTTCTCCCTTCCCCCCTATACACTTCCATCCATCCCCCATCACTGTCTCTGGTAGTCAGCTTCAAATGCTCACTTGACCCAACCTAGGCTCACCTAGAGAGTCTCATTAAGTGATTATATACATTGGGTTGTCAGGGTCATCTCCAATGATTTAATCGATGTGGAAGGACCCAGCCCATTGTAAACATCCATTCCCAAAGCAGATTAACTTCAACTTCGGCATGAATAAGACAAGCAGAGTACACAGCCCATGAGTGTGTATTCATTTGTTTCTCTCTGCTCTTGAACCTGCTGTTTGAAGTTACTACCTTCACTTTCCCAGAATGATGACTATCTCTTGTAATTGTGAGTAAAATAAACCCCTTCCTCCAGAAAGTTGATCTTTTGTCTGGATATTTTATCATAGCAATGAACATAAAATTCTACCATCTCTTTTCCTTTCCTTCTGTTTTTTACAGCATTTACTCAACTGCAAAATGCTCAAATAATATAACTTTTCCTATTGACCTTTTTGAAATACCCAAAAGATAAATGCTCGACCAAAAATCAATAGGAAAATGTGATTTTAAACATTATTGTCATTTTTGACTACAAATAAAGACTCTCCATGATAATAGAGTATATAGGATTTTGTATCATATTATTAGTAGATACTAAATTATTAATGGTCCCTTCTACCAATTTAATATTGTAAAAACTGACAATGTATTTTCACACTTGTCCTCAATCCAATGGTTTATTATATATGTTTACTAAAAACAGAATGTCTTGTGCCTGAAAAAATGGTAAATTATTTTTTCTTATAAGCTGGTAAGGCATTTAAAAAATTACACACACACACACTCGCTCACGTGTGTGTGTCTATCAATGTCCTTTGAAAGTATGTAGACTGAGAAGCAAAACAGAATAGATATAAATTATTAGTGATGTATTAGTAAGTAGGTAATATTACAAGCTAGATGTAGAAGATGCAAGATAAAGAATTACCTTTCCTTTTTTATTTCAATTTTTTTTTCTTTAGAAGAGTTGTGTACAGGGGGTTTAAATTCTTTATAGACCAAAAACAAAAACAAAAACAAACAAAAAACAAAAACAAAAAAACTGCCAACTTATTCATTATTATCATCTTCTTCATCTTCATCTTCCTCTTCTTCGTCCTCTTCCTCATCCCCTTCATTCTCCTCATCATCTTCCTCTTCCTTCTTTTTCTTGCTCTTTTCTGCCTTGACTGCGCCCTTTTTTGCTGCATCGGGTTTCCCTTTAGCTCTGTAAGCAGCAATATCCTTTTCATACTTCTCCTCCAGCTTGGCAGCCTTCTTTTCATAGGGCTGCTTGTCATCTGCCGCAGTGTTGTTCCACATCTCTCCCAGATTCTTTGCAACATCACCAATGGAAAAGCCTGGGTGTTCTCCTTTGATTTTTGTGCGATATTCAGAACAGAACAAGAAGGCCGAAGGAGGCTTCTTGGGTGCATTGGGGTCCTTGAACTTCTTTTTGGTCTCCCCTTTGGGGGGCTGTAGGTTTTCATTTCTCTTTCATAACGAGCCTTGTCTGCCTTTGTCATGTCTTCAAATTTCCCCTTTTCTTTAGCAGACATGGTCTTCCACCTCTCTGAGCATTTCTTGGAGAACTCTGAGAAGTTGACGGAAGCATCCGGGTGCTTCTTCTTGTGTTCCTCTCAGTCCAAAGAATGCATATGAGGACATTTTGCCTCTCAGCTTTTTAGGATCTCCTTTGCCCATGTTTAGTTGATTTTCATCCACGAGGCAGAGTCGCCCAGAGCCCATCCGGCTCGCACTTGCCCCGGCGCTGTCTCTATGGAGCTCAATGTACTGCCAAGTATTACCTTTCTTAGTGAGGAGTATGAGCAAAGGGGTCAAGACCAGGCTGCAGAAATGCACAGACACTGCTGACCTGAACAAGGGGGAGCTTATGAACTCTAGTCTGATAGCTAGGAAACCAGTATAGGACCAACCGTTACCCCTGAATGTGTGTGTTAATTAGGAGGACTAGGCAGTCTATGGGGCCTCTGGTAATAGATCAATATTTATCCCTAGTATAATGAATGTACTTTGGTGAGCCCATTCCTCATATAGGGATACTCTCTCAGCCTAGACCCATGGGGGAGGGCCTAGGCCCTGCTCCAAATGATATGACAGACTTTGAAGACTCCCCATGCAAGGTATCACCCTCCCAGAGGAGCAGAAAGGGGATGGGATGGGGGTTGGTGGAGGGGGGACAGAGGAAGAAGGGAGGGTGTGGGAACTGGGATTGACATGTAAAACAAGTTTGTTTCAAATTTAAATTTTAAAAAATTATCAAAGGAAAAAAAAGATGTTCTAATTTTCTGTGATCATACCTAAAAGCAAATAAATGTGAAAAAAATAAGTGGGGGAAAAAAAGAATTACCTTTCTTTCTTAAGACTGCATATTTGTAGTTCTGTAGATATCCCCTGAAGAATCCAGCTGGTCTTGGCACACTACACAGCCTTGTACTGGATTGACACCATGTCTAACAATGAGTCTGAGATGTGATAACTCTGGAGATTGAACAGGCATGCAGTCCTATTCTGTTCTGGAAATGACCTGAGTGAGCACTGAGGGGACCCCGCATGGTGCCAGCTCCATGATACATTCCCAGGGCAGTTCAGGAAAGGGACTCTAATTTCCACATGGAGTTTCAGAGTTCTGTGGCAAAGATCCCCCAGAACCTGGCATTATGGATGGTGACAACGGACACAGTAGAACTCAGCAGTGGCTTTACAGGAGATGTTACAGAGAAGCCATGTCAGGTGAGGATCCAGGAACTTGGGTCTTTGGGGAATCCTGCTTACCTGGCTTGGGGGATACCTGTTGTGCCAGCCTTTCTCAATAGTGACTGCACTCTTCCTGACTTTAGGTACAATGTATCAGAACGAGACAGGATGGTTGTGATATATCAAGCCATGATTCCCACTAGGAAGAAAAATGAGAGGAGTGTGAAATATTGAGCCTGTCTTTTATGTGGAAAAAGACCACATAAAGCATTGAACTACATACCGATTGATTTAAATGCACTCTTATCCACAAGTTCATCTGTGATCATTTGTTTGATGATTCCTTCAGAAGAATAGACACAGATATCCCCTTGTTTTCCATTTAGAGTTTGAGATAGGTAAAAACAGGAAGACAGCCTGGTGGTTAGGGTTCAGAGAAGGAATTAGGTTATCTGAGAAATGCTGAGTCTTTAGACTTGTATGCAACTTTTACTTAATAATGATGCAGATAATGGTAGAAATACATAGGGCAGGAAGGAAAAGGGCAGATTTTGTTTCAGTGTACTGTTATTAGAGAATTCATGAGCAGATGCTAAGACTCCTGATATTCATCACAGAGTCGCGATATGTAGATGAGAGAGGCTTTCTTCCTGCCTGTGAACTTCAGAGAATGCAGAATTTTGATGGATGTAATTTTTATTTAAGGGGGTGGAAACCTTCTGAAATCACTGTTGGGGGATCCCTTAAGCTTTGTGTGCTGGCTTTGTGCCTCCCTGGTTTACCTTGGTTCCACTAATGCACTCTCTTAGTGAGTTAGACTAGTAGGGGAAAGAAAAGTGATCTGTGAGGAGGAAATAGAAAGCCCAGGCCTCAGCACAGAGGCCAAGGAAGCTGGATTGGACTTGTTTTCAATTTCTACTAGGGATATATAATTATGTCAAGAACAAGCAGCTCATGGAATCTTTGGAAAGGTAAGAGAAATCTTACATTAAAAAAAAATGTGACTAGGACATGGAAACTTGTCTTTTGTTAGTAATGAGTAGTATTTTAAATGATGGCTCCCCAAAGATATGCCACATCCTAGTCAATAGAACTTAGTATGTGGCTACCAGCTGCTCAAATGGAGCTCTATGGATTAAGTACTCTGGCCACAATGAATTCCACACATTCCACACAATCCCAGTTGTTAGTGCTACACTGGCCTTGTGGTAGAGCCAAAGTCACTCATGTACAAAGAAAACAGCTCCCAGACTGCCATAGCAAGCACTGCTTCTGTCTTCTTAGGAGAGATGCCCAGTTCCATCAAGTTCTTCCAGCAGCCTACTCTTAACTTTTCACTGCCCTTTACCCCAGGCCAGACCTGGGAAGTTAAACAAGTTAAACACAGAGGTAAACTCAGAAGGTCATAGAAGAAACATGAATCTGCCCGGGAAGGAGTTGGAGGCACTCAGCATGCTTTCTGCTCTCTTTATCTTGCTGAGCATTTTTTTGTGGTGGGGGGGGGGCATTAAGGTGCCTGGCTTCATGTTGTCACAGATCTGGGAATGCCATGGAAGGGGGAGACAAAAACACAAGTGATACAAAATGAAAAACTGATCATGATCACCACAAGCCAGGAAGCAACTCCCACCCCTGAGCCTGCATTAGGTGGAAATAGGTCAATGTCAACATGAGGAGTGGGCTGTAGAAGAATCTGACTCCATACTTCTCTTGCCTTTTGCCATCAGCTAGACAGAGATGAATATTTGGGTTGGTTTATGAGTCTCTAGACAAAAGTGAAGAGTTTGCACTTTTGTGGTTTATGTGATGAAGGCCACTATATTCCAATCTTAGCTTTGATGAGGTCCTTCAGGGTCTGCTATTCTCAAGTCTCAAATTAAAATACCCAATGACACACTGAACCCCAAGGAACTAGTGATGGCTGATCTCCCAACATCCAAAGGAGACAGAAAACAGAACCCAACAATGTAAATGGCCAATAGCTCAGCAATGGCCAGATCTCTATTTAGCTTTGTTACCAATCTCTCATGGCTACCAGGGAGCAATACAGCAGACTAGCAGCAAGAAAGGAGTCTTTAATCCCCAAAGAACTTCAGGTTACACATCTGGGAGACCCAGGGGTTGGGGGACTACGTTCTAGGTCAGACTCTGCCTTAAAACTCTCTTATGGCCATTGCAGATGAAATAGCTTCTCTAGCCTCAGCTTTCTCACTGTTAAAAAGATATACTTGTGAAAATGGCCTCCATGCACATTCCCTGAAACCAGAGGATATGCTGGCTCAGTAGTACAGTCTTGACTGCTGCTGGTGTCCTTCAAGCACAGAGCAGTGAGCCTCAGACCCAGGACATCAGAGCATCGTCCACAAGGCTGGGCACCAGGGATTCTGACAAGATTGTAGGAGGCAGGAAGTTACTGGCTTACCTAATACCATGGCACACACCACTAAAAAAAAAGCAGGATAGTATTTTTCTCAAAATCCCTTTCAACTTAGAGCTACTAGGAGACGCAACACAACTAGTACATAAGAGTAGACTTAACCCAGCAGTGATGGCACATAACTTTAATCTCAGCACTCACTCAAGAGGCAGAGTTGTAAGTTGGAGACAGAGATGTGAGTCGGAGACCAGCCTACTCTAGTTACACAGAGAAACCTGTTTTGAAAAAAAAATAAATAAAAAAATAAGAGTAGGCTTGCTAGATTTAATTTATCACCCCTGTCCTCATCTTTCTTTAGAACTCAATATTCTTCACTGTATAGCATGCAAATTAACTGGTCTTCAATGGGAAATTCAGCTCTTATAGGAGATGACTGTATTTTAATTAGGGACTTTAAATAATTGAAATATTTGGATGATGGTGTTGGTGCTATTATATTAGTGAAGAAGTATGTTCTTCTAATTTAGCACTGGTAGATAGTAATGCATTTACCACATGAACAAATTACTTGGAGAGGGCAGTCAGCAAGTGACTGGGCCTCTTCCTAGCCCATGGAACACACAAAAAGCAGTTCCTTGTGACACTGTGATAATACTGTTTTCTCAGTTCTCAGTAATGCTGCTACTTGTACCTCCTTGTGGAGATTTCCATAGGCTAACATAGTTCCCCAATACCTTTGACTTCATCTACTTCATGTGCTTTCATTTACATTGCTTTGCAACTATCTAAGCTATTCACCCTTTTCCTAGAAAATACTTACCACAAGTATGGAAAGACAGCTGTAACATCCCTTCCTGACAAGGACTAAGAATTCTTCTGAATGTGTATATCCCAACTGGGTTACAAATTCTTCTGGGATTATATTGCATCATTCCCCATGAATTTTTAATACTCTTCCTGGGATCATTTCCAAGACATCTACACTGAGACAAATGTGCTGCCTATCCGCAGCAGCCTGTCAGAGGCATTTCACACTCAAACAATACACAGAAAAGGCATTTAATTGAGATACGAGATATTAGATATGGCAGAAAAGGCAGAGTTTCCATTATAATACAGCAAGAATACACGGTATAATACACGGTAGAAAGCAAGACCATAGAAGGTTGTGGTAGTATGCCTCTGCCACTCTAAAAGACATTCCTGAATGTGGCAAATCAAAACATGCCCTCGTGTGGTATACCCAGCACTATACATGGAACATCTTGCCATAGAAGGGAAACTGATATGTGTGACATAGACTGGAATGTTGTTTTTGGGTTAACATAGAAATAGGGTAGCTTTGGAGCTCATAAAACTGGCACTTCACACTGATGCGATCTTCCATGACCCTGGGGACAGTCTTGACAATGTGTTTACATGGCCAGATGTTCTTGTAAAATATGTTGTAAAAATATTTACAAAATTCTAAGTACTTTTGGCTGATGCCTCTGTCTCTATCCCCTCCCCTCAGGTGTAAGCATGCTCAGACTGTAAAGAAAGCTCTTGTGGCTCCATATGAGGGAAGGAGAGTTAAGGATAATATGACTGGATTTAGTGGGTTATTGAAAATGTTCATAGCTTTTTTTGTGTGTAGGGCTAAGTAATTGTTCTC